TTGCTAGGGACTTGCCCGGCACTTGCTCTCTACCTCTATTTGTTATCTTTCTTCTATCATTGACAGTCCCTCTAGGTTGTGGGCTGCTTGCCTGTGTTCCTGAGAAGCATCTACGGTACCAGTCTATAGAGTGTGTTTTCTTTAGTGAATTACCGGTATGTTTACCGGTAATAAACTTGCACTGTTTTATGTATATGTTTGATTACATACAGCCTTGTGACAGTTTTCCTGCATGTCATAAGCATTTGAATATAAATTAAAATGTTAAAATCAAATCTGATATTGTTTTACCTTTTATTTGGTGTGTGGAAGGTGTGCGGAAGAGGGGGTAGTCTTATACGGCGAGTATATAACAAACTCTGTATTTTGTGTGGAAATGTTAGGGGGTCGTCTTATATGCCCAGTCGTCTTATACACCGGCAAATACGGTACAAAAACGTTAAAAGTAATAAACAAATTCAGCAAAGTAGCAGGATACATAGTCAACATGCAAACATTAGTTGCATTTCTATATACTAACTATGAACAGACTTAAAAGGAAATTAAGAAAACTATTTCTAGGAGTATATGGAATAATCAATGTTGTTAAGAAAGATTCTCCCAGATTAGTGATTGCAAAGCATAGTATAGTGACATAGACTCTCTTCGTTTCAAATCCAGGACCTACCACTTGTTCACATATAAATTTGAGCATATCCCTCAGTCTTTATGAACTGTATTGATTACATATGCAAAGTGGGTATAACAAGTCCAAATTTGCAAGGTTTATATAATGAGCAGTGAGGTCAGCTTTGTAATGCATCTGTCACAGAGCTCAGCAATGAATGAGAATCATTTCTTGAATTTTATTTTTATTACAGAAGTAAAATTTTGGAGGCTGATAGTATCTACTGTTTCATCACTACCATCAAATGCTATCCTACATTTTGTGCCATAGAAAAGTACAAAGGTCCCACAGGCCCTCTGCTGATGCACACAGGCTTTGATTAACCTTGAATTAGAGAATGAATTTGTGATGTTATTACTACAGAGAAACTATTTTGGGTTTGCAGGCTGCCATGGCATCTGGACCCATCATGTTGGTCCCCATGTGTTTGGTGGAAAACAAGGATGAGCAGATGTCAGTGAACGAGAAAGCCTTAAAGATTCTTTACAAGATTTCTCAACCAGTGGTGGTTGTGGCCATCGTTGGGCTGTATCGCACAGGAAAATCCTATTTGATGAACTGTCTTGCAAGAGAAAAGTGTGGTGAGTGAAGTCTTGTGACAGAAGCTGTTTGCTTAAGTCCAGCTGAATCTCAGCTTCTCACTGCTTCTCTAGGGTCACAGGAAAGGAGATCCCACATTTCTTAATAGACACATTTTCTAATTCTAGTTCTCACCAGCAAACTTGCAACTTGACCTTTTCTGTTCCTAATTCTTACTTCTATGTTTCCGCTTCCTATAAAAGGAAAATCTCCCAAACTAGTGCTCTCAGAGACATCTTTTCTAACCCACCAGGCACTAAGCTCTTGAAGTTATGTCTCCCACATGAAATTTTGATTTCTATTACTGTGATATTCTTATTAACTAACCAATGTGCTTGAATATCTGTCATCCTAAAATTTCTCTCTGGACTCCATATCTCATTATGACTACCACCTCCTTTTTTCTTTTTACTCCTCTTCAAGCTAAAATATTTTGTCTGTCTCAATTTCCTTTCCCAATTCTACTCTTCCCACCTCTCTTTTCAATGGACTTCTCACTGTTTTTAACCCTAACAGTCCACTGAATGCTCTTATTATATTTACCAATGAACTTCATTTTTGTATGATCAATGGATGTTTCTTTGGATCCATCTCAGTTCCCTGTCTGACATCCTATCTCATAGTTGATATCTCTCTGCTCCTTGAAATTCTTTCTTTACTCGGCTTCTGTGGCACCACACTCTTTTGGGTTTCTTTTTATCCCTGCATCTAGTTCTCTTCAATCTCTTTCCTGGCCTCCAACTTTTCATCCACTCATCTGAATCGTAGGTCCCTCCAGGACTTGGCCCTGAGATCTTTTCTCTCCTCTGTTTATACTTTCTCAGTTTGATCTCATCCAATCTCTGGACTTTAAATGCCACTTTTATTCTCATATCTCTGCAATGGATATTTCTTGCCTCAATAGCTCTTCTGACATTCAGACTCATTAATCAAATAGCTATCTAACTTGTTCTTTTTGAAAGTTTTCCACTTAAAGTTATGTTCACAATAAAAGTCTAGATCAATCCCCACTTTGAAACCCAAATGAAACCAAACCAAACAAAGCAAAGTAACAGCACACTTTCTGCTTTCTCAATCATTTTCTTCCCAGTAGTGTACCAACCTCTAGTTTCAAGCCTCTAACTTGATAGCCCTCACTTAGCTTATCTCCCACATCCAATTCATACATTCCCCTCTTGTTACTCTTACTAAATATATCTCAAATCTGTTTTTCTATTTTTATCTTACTATTTTCATTTGTTTTTAATCCTCACTGGAATACAGGCTCAGTGATTTTAGAGACAGGGGAAAGGATAGAGGTGGGGAGGGAGGGAAGGAGAGAGAGAGAGAGAGAGAGAGAGAGAGAGAGAGATCCATTGCCTTCCAGTGCTTGCTCCAATGAGGGGATCTAACCCACAACATAGGTATGCATGTGCCCTGACCAAGAATTGAACCCACAACTCTTAGGTGTATAGGACGACACTCCAACCAACTAAGCCACACGGACCAGGACTATTTTAAGATTTTTATTTATGAGGCTAAGTCAGTCTAATCTTTTGCCTGAAATCCCTTCTTTTTTTCCCTGAAGTGTCCTTTTTCTACTTTGACGCTCTCTAATAAATTATCTTCAAAGCAGCCAAGCAAAGTTTCATCTAGCTGCTTTTAATGCCTTCCATAAGCTTGCATTATTCTTACATAAAATCCATACTCCTCAGAGGCCCACTGTGACCTAGTCTTTCCAATACCTTATACATTTTCTCCATCACTGGTTATGATACAACCATACAAGCCTCCTTGTTGCCCTTGCAAATTGCAAGCCCTTTCCTATCTCCAGTTCATTGAACCTGTGGTTCACTCTGCTTGCAATACTTGCTTCTTCTTTACCCAGCTGGCTCCTTTTATTCAAGGCTCTGAACAAATGTCCCAGTTATCAAAGAAGTCTTCCCTGCCCATCATGTTGCCTCTCCATTTAAATTTAACACAATATGAACATATTTTATATAATTATATATTTACTTGTTTTTCTTCTTATATTAAAATTAAAATCAGTAGAGGAAAAACCTTACCTGGAATCTTTGCTACAAATTTGCGGTAACACACAGTAAGTGCTTCTTTAACCCAGTAAGCACACAGTAAGTGCTTCTTTAATTGAGTAAGAGAAACGTAAATCAGAATGTTTATCTTTTAGGTCACTGCTATTTTTATATGACTTTAGCTAGCCTTCATGAAAATTCTGATTAGAGCACTGTACCTTGGTGTTGAAGAATATCTTGTAGACTAGCATATCCAAATACTAAAAAGCCCATGAATATGGTTTACTGTAAAGAGAATCTGACCCTGGGAATATAAAACAAGTCATAAGAAAAATAGAGGACAACATACTGAAATCCATGGGTAGAAAATGAGAATATAGAAACAGCATCAACCACACATCAACATCTTTTCTATTCTGGTTCAATGTGGGGCTCTCAGAAGTTCTGTTTTCCCTCAAAATAGAAAAAAATAAGAATAAATGTGATGTGATAATGTTTCTCTTAAAGAATGTTTTAATTGTTGCTGGGATTCCTTGAATTAGTTGTGATTCACAGCATCTTCAAAACAAGTAAAAGGTGAGATGCAGCCACAGTCCTTTATGAGGGCTTATAAAGTATGCTTATTATCATAAACTGGTTATAAGTTACCAGGGTCTTAGCCTTCATTGGCTATAAGACTCCTAAGAGAAGGTGTTTCTGTATCTTTTAGCCACTGTGGTATCTCCTGAGCCTTAAACATACGCCCAATGCCAAGAACATAATGGGTGCTTAATAAATAATATTAAATAAATTGCCCTGTTCATTCCTCAGACTATTGAAAGGTCTTGATTTAATTACAGTACATTCAACTCACTTCTTTAAGGAGTCATGATTGTTGAATGGATAAAAACCAAAGCTTTTTATATGTAGCATACTCCTTTTCTCATCCAATGTGTGGGTAGGGCCACTTAGACATGAACAAGGATATATTTATGTTGCAAAATTGCATTAGCAGTCTGAATAAACCAAACTTATGTGAAAAAGAATTAATGTTAGTGAAAG